GATTCTCCTCAAGGCCAAGCTCTTCCAATAAGGTCAGGAGCCGAAGCTCTGAAGGAATTAGACCGGTAAATTGATTGCCATTAAGCTTGAGGCGCTCCAATGAGGTCAGGAGCCCAAGCTTGGAAGGGACTTGACCAGTGAGCAGATTGACATTCAACCATAATGTAGTCAAAGAAGTCAATGCAAAAATATCAGAGGGAACTTGGCCTGAAAACTGATTGTCCTGCAAAACCAAATGTGTCAATCCAGTCATCTCATAAAGTTCTGTTGGTAACAGAGATGAAATTGATCCAGCAATACCATCGTTCCTAAAGTTGACACGCGAAAAGGAAGTCAAGAGTGCAATCTCAGGTGGCAAAAATGGGGAAAGACCAGAGAGTTGCAGGTCTTGCAGAATTAGAGATGTGAATTGTCCTTGACTGTTGCAGGACTGTATAGAGTTTGGCCATTCATAATATTTTCCATCCAAAAAATATCCAAACCCACTAGAGAACCAGTCACACTCTTCGACTGTGTCATCCATCCATCCATGGCCCCTGATTAAAGGGTTCCAATTCTCTCCTTCAAAAGCATAGAAAAAAGTAGCAATAGCAAAGAGTTGTGTCTTTCTCCATTCAAGCAAGTTTGTGATGTTTTGGTGGTTGGCTAGCCATTGCCATGCTTTCCACTGTGGGGTCTCACTGCCATTGTTGATGCTGGCCAAAGTGTAGTCAGGGAGACTATCGAACAGCAAGTCTAGAACCCCAGTTGGGGCAGAGGATGGCACTTCAGAGGGTTCCATGGAACCATAAACTGTCGGAGCATCTGTTGATAGGTAGATAATCGCCTCTGGCTCCTTCTTTTGGGTTCCTGCCACAGTTCCCACAATGACAGCTGCCACAATTATTAACATGACAAAGAAGAGAATAAATGTCTGTCTCTGTTTCTTCCTCTCTTGTTCTCTCTGCTGGACATGCTCTAGATCGACTGGATCCGCTGCTGGCCTAGTTTCTTCCTCCTCTGAATCTTCTAGAACAAGATTTGCCACTGCCAAGTCTTGTTCGTTTGTTGATGGAATGTTGTGGTTGGTGGTGGTGGTGGTGGTGGTGGTGGTGGTGGTTTGTACCGCATCATGTGGTCCGGCCAGTGCAGAGGAATCGTCTGTATCTTCTATCTGCACTAACGGATCACCCTGACCAGTGGCACTGGCACCAACAAGGGAGAACCTTAGGGTGTTGGCTCGTTGCAAGGCTTCTCCCGGTAAACCCAAGTAGGCCCCTGGTCTGGATGACTGTTGTTGCCTCTGTCGAATACGTTCTGGTTGTTCTGCAAGTTCTGCGGTTTGCCGGTTTGGACCACTACCAGAATCTGCAACAGTTTCAAACTTTTCCATTTTGGCAGCCTCGTTGATTTCGGTTGCCATTTGCAGGAGTTCTGCACTTTGCCGGTTTGGGTCATTACCAGAATTAGCAGCAGTTTCATATTTTTTCATTTTGGCAGCCTCGTTGATTTCGGTAGCCATTTGCAGGAGTTCCATATTGTAACTAGCAGCATCTCTGTGTTCTTCTTGATTAACATTTTCATCCTGTTTCAATGTTTTTTGTGCTGTTGCCGATCCTTTGACAGGCATACCCACAGCACGTGTCTGTCCCTTTTTGAAAAACGATAGCTGGTGGCTTTGTGGATTGCGGCTGCTCTGAGCTACGTTTCCCGGAGCACAAGTCTCATCTTGTTGTTCCAGGTGCTCTGTCACTACTGCTGCACTTGCCCTATCTGCCACAATCTTCAAGATGTTATCGTCGTGGTCCTCAGTTGGAATCGTGCTGCTGAATGGGGTGGATTGCCGGGGATTTCGACGGCCTGGTATTGCGTTGGCTACACCAGTTTCAGCAGCAGTCTCTACATGTTTGTTCTCCTGAGTGGTACCGGTAGCGGCAGTGACAAAGAATTCCTCCACTTGGAATTGTGCAGCTTCAGCCTCGGCTTTCTTAAGGAGCATATCCCGTACTGCTGGGTCGAGTGTGTCGTTCCCACCACCACTGCCAGGAGATTCCTCCTCCTTCTTCTTACTAGCAGCCTTGGCATTCTTCATCCTTCTTAGTTAGTTTTTAAATACGAGGAGCAGATGGATCTGTTGTACGAACTACTATTAATAATAGTCTATCCGGCGTCGTCGTCGTCGTAGCTTTCACAAGGGCAATTGAGATACGGGTCTGCATGAAGAACATCATTTGAGAGTAGGAAAATTGAGTTTTGGAGGCAGTAGCAGAAGCAAGGCGTTGTAAGAGAGTCTTGGCTTGAGGGGCAAGCATGCCATCCACTGAAACAACAAAGGGGTGGAAGGAAGCGCGATTGGACTCGCACGCGTCTTTATATTTGGAAATTTTGTCGCGTTCTTGTTGGGTTAAAACTTTGATGGAAACTTTGTTGCGGTAAGAGGCACAGTCCAAATCAGTGACGCGTAAAGAATAAGATACCAAAATAAGACTTCTCTATTATTCAAGAAGAAGAGGACCATCATGGACGACAATGATGGCGGTGGAAAGCTTCCAGCAAAGGATGCTGGGCTCTCAAACTCTGCACTTTCCGTGGGCATGGCCCTGATCTTTGTTGGTAATCTCATTGCCAGCGATGATGGAGAGAGCGTCAATCTCGCGACCGCGCTGGGCCGCGCAGATGCGGACCACTTGTGGATGGTCTTGCTTGGATTGGCTGCAGAGAATCCAACTGTGTCTCACTACGATCTTCTGGTGGCAGCACAAATTGTGCTGCAAAGGTGGAGTGCGGACCGTGGCGCTTCGACGGCCTTCAATCCAAGTGCCTTTCGGTTGGCTATCCAGGACATGGTTCGTGAAGACGAGGAGACTCCTCCAGGGGCCACGAGGGGTTCTTACAAGTGTGGCCGTTGTCGAGTACCCAAGAAAGGACATATTTGCACGTTCGAACCGGTGTTCTTCCGTGGCATTTCTGAGGAACCAGAAGCAAATCATGATATGTGGTCTTTGACGAATGGGTCTTTGCCCGGATCATCGGAACCCGACGATCAGGGCGGCGAACCATCTGATAACGACCATCGTGAGGAAGACGGCGACAACGACGATGAGTCAGAGGAGTAGGTCCAACAAGAAGAATGTTCCTTGGTCAGCATGGACAACTCCATTGACCCTGCAAGAGATCAGCCAAGAGTTGCCTTTTCGGTACTCTTTTGGCATGACTCGGCAGGGCCTTTGGAGGTGTGCCTTTTGATGACCTTGGAACATCACAGTACAATTTATGTCGAACAAGAAGTAGGAAGTGAAGGAGAAACAAACAGGAAGCAATCATCGCTCGGTAAGTTTAGAAAGTAGGTAGGAAATAATAAATGATTATTAGTATAGCGGAAGAATAGTTTAGTTGGTGAGGGTTGGGCGTACAATTTCGGTCACGAATCCTCTGGAAAACACGGCACACATTATTCTGTATCCAAGCGAAGGCTGTCATCGCACACCTTGACCAGGGTAGTCGCCCATTGTGTCGGAATGACTATGAAACGCAAGTGCCCAAAGAAATACAGGAAGGAGTGTCCGGCCTTGAAGGATGGACGCGGGGGTACCAGCTCGTCTTCAGCTGACGCAATGTATATGTTGGCTTTCCGGAGCTAATGGTGGTGCGTCGATGGAGTTTTGGGGCTGGTGGCTCAAATACGGAGATTTCTCCATGGAGGAGAGGATGCGTTATCAATCACCCGACCCGACCCCACTCGTCATTCCTCACAAACAGTATGGTATAGGTACTTTACTGTGCGGTATGGGTATCGGTACCAGGTAGATACCGACCGGTACCGGGCACCTGCACTCCCTCGGCTCCACATCAGAGTTTCCAAGTGAGGTGGTACAAATTTGGTGTTACCGCACCCGTCATGTAAATGAATAAGCTTGTTCTTCTTGTGACGATAGATACCGGTACGTAGCTCCCTGTGAATATGCCACAACCCCCGATGTACTGTACGGGATGTGCTGGCTCTAGCTAGCCAGAGCTAGTTGAGTTGAGATTCGTGTTTAGCCAATGAACCAATGAGTTGTCCACGATGAGGATCGAAAACGGCCACGGCGTGGAAGTTAGGCATTGTGCGTGCCTCGAGGGGTTGCGCTTTCCTCATTTTGTTGTTGCTCATAGCACAAATATCGGTCGCAGTGAGTTGGACTACTTCTGACAAGAAAGTTGGAGGCAAGAAAGGCGGCAACCATGAAGGTGGCACGAATAAAGGTGAAGACTGGTCTGATGTGGTGGTGGTGGTAGGTGGAGTAGAGTTTCATGAGTCAAGCCACTTTCTCAGGGCCGGTAGTGACTATTTTGAAGCAGCCTTTCGAAGTGGAATGAAGGAGGCTGAGACAAAGAGATTTGAATTTCCCGACAAGGATCCTGAGGGGTGGAAGCTGATCAAGAGCTTTTTGGAGCCATTTTCTAATGTGTCTGTATCTGCAAAGGATGCAGAGAAACTTCTTCCCTGGCTTGATGAGTTTTGCATGCCAAAGGGCCTAGAACTGTGTGATCAAAAGCCGGATACAATGGCAGCCGAGAGATTCCGAGAACAGCCCTCCTCTTTGAGTGCCGAACAGCGCGAAGAACGGAACACTGTTCCGGCTCTCAAATACTTGCTTGGAAATCAGTGTTCGATACAGCCTTCCACTTACGAAGACTACCTGTTGTTACTTTGTCCAGAAGGAGCTGGAGTCGAGGTCGTTGTTTCGATTCGCACTAAGGAAAACATGAGTGTTCTCTTTGAAGCAATGCAATCCGATGAGCATTGCTGCAATGAGTTTTGGAAGCTCATTCAATGCCACCTTCCTACCTCTGGCTCTTCAAGTTCTGACAAGGTCAGCATTTTATCCTTAGAGCATCTTCCAGCCCTAGTGGCATGCGAGATTCAGAAGAAACGCTCCTGAAGAGTATTCAAGAGTGCAAGCAAAACAATTTTCCAGTTGAATCTCTTTGGTCGAATCTGGAGAAAAGGGGGGTAGATTGCAAGCGTTCGTCGAAAAAGGACAGCAGCAAGATATATGTCTTTGTACTGCACATACTCTTGGTGTACTTCTACCTCAGGTGTGTACTGGTAGCGGTAGCTCGTCCTTGTGAAATCTACGAGTGAGCGCTTGCTCCCTTATTACAGACAAAGAGGCCAATGGATGACGATTCATGGTCCTGGGGTCTGGTAGGGATCATACAGAACTAGTTTTAGCTAGCCCTTACAAATGATATGCACCGAAGGGTACATGGATATACGTCGAAACCATCAAGTCACGTCATCGCTGATGTCTCTATAGTTTCTTGTTGTTTTCATCTACTACAATTCCATTCATCCGGTATCGATTGAATGATGGCTCAAATACAGAGGTGCTAAAGGTCTTGTCTTCGGAAGGGGCTATTGCTCGTGCAGAGTCTCTCCTGACTCCCAGGACCAGGCCTGACCAGAACAGTTCCAGTTCCGATAATCTCGGCTAGTTGTTACCTGTTAGCTTCATTCAGGGCTGGCCTAGCTAGGGCCAAGAACGCAAAATCCAATTTGGATACACGGCTCCTCGGAGTCCCAAGCACACACCAGAAAGAAACTTGCTTGAAACCTCGAATGGAGCTGATACCTCGAGCCTGATTACTCACGGTGAGAAACAGCTCAGTCATGAGCTTGGATAATTAGTTAACTGCTTTGCGTACTGTTATGTAGACTCTTCTGTCATCATCTAGAAGACAGTTGTATAGTAGCAGATCGCAGCCGAGTGTGACTTCGGTACGAGGTGTGCTTCTGAAGTGCTTTCTTGATCGTTTTCAGTTCTGGCTGGACTGATTCATGAGCCCTGCCTGCATGGAGGTTTGTCTTCGTTTCGGACAAGACCGGTCGCTTAGATCTGACGAAGAATCCAAGGGAGAGCTGATGGTTCACTCCACGGCCTGCTCCACAATTGTCATGGTGTGGCATCACTGGATACCGTAGCTCGGGCCGACCTTGCTCACTTATTTGTAGATGATGTTGATGTCATTGTCTAGCTAAAGATGACTGCGACACAATAAAACAGTGCATCTAGTTGTTTACCTAGAGAAAAATGTAGCATATAATCAGAGAGCTGTAGAATTGGTGATATCAACGGATCCATCTTCTCCAACCAAAAGATCAATGGTGATTTCAGAAAAGGCCTCCCCAGCTACCAAAGAATACAACACTGATTCGTTAGTGGCTGTCAGAGTGATCCAACCAGGGATGGAGACACCATCACCATAACTGTCAGACACAACCAGTATGTAGGCTGTGTCGG